AATAAATAGATCCAAGGATAGATATAAAATTGGCAGTCACTCAGGGAGCATCATCAAGGTGCCAGCCACCCCCAGGACTGGGTAAGATTGCTATCACCCCACGCAAGCTGCCAGAGCCAGGTCTTTAATCCTTTCCAGAAAGCCGGGAGGGTAGGGGCCTGCTGCACCTCTGGAGGGAGAATATTCCAAAGGGCAACCGCAGAGAAGGCTCTCCTCCTGGGCCCCACCAGCTGACATTCTCTTGCTGGCAGGATCCGCAATATGCCCTCTCTGCCTGACCGGGTGGGACGGGTTGATGTGATGGAACATTTCCAAAAAGATATAAATAAGCACAAACTGTTGATAGAAAAAAATTAAGTCAGGAAAAAAAATTGATCTATATATTTTGAAATGGCTCAGAGACCTCTTACTTCATGCCAAGAAAACAGAATAAAAATTGTAGCCGTTAGAAAATGCCAATATTCAGCTATGGCTAAAACTGTAGCAGAAGCTGCAAATCCAACACATCTGGAGACAATGAATTAGGAAAAACATTAAAAAAAATCTAAAAAGCATTTCTTCTGGTCATACTAACATCTGCACAAAAAGAGAGATCAATACGATGTTCTTATTATTTGTTCCGCATCCCATAGAAAAGGCTCAAGATCAGTTCTTTCATTTCAGAGAATAAGATAAGAATAAAAACATGAGTTACAGGAAGACAGATTCCAATGGAATGTTCCAGGGGGAAGAACCTTTTAAAGAATAAAAGCAGTTTGACTGTGAAACCAATTACTTAGAGAGATTGTGAGCTTCTGTTCATGAGATGCATTCAAGTAGCAGCTAGACAGCCACCGATCTAGGATGCTTTATTTTGGATTCCTGCACTGGACAGGGGGTTGGACTGGATGGCTGAAATTAACCACTTCCAATACAGTGACTTTCTAAGAGTGTTGAATCTCCAAATCTTAAATATAAGAAATTGTCAGGTTCAGCCCAAGAACCACAGTGAGACAAATCCAGGAACAGTTCAGTTACTTTCTTAGCTTACACCTATTAGACAGATTCTCGCCAGACTAACTCTAACCTCCAACAACAGCAACTATAACCCTGAACCCCTTAGGGAGAGGGCAGTCTCCTTCTCTTAACTTTCACATGCTTCAGCTGGGGGCTGAGGAGATGCTTGGAATGCCTTTCCCCCTCCCCGTAACCTTGAAGCTCCATTCCAAGATCCTCCTCGCTCATGCCTTCCATCACAGAAATGTCTCTACCCAGTGCCAACATTATACCAAACTGAGGGGCCTCTTCTGAAGAAAGCCTTAACACCACCATGATGAAAATCCTTTTCTTAATGTCATTGTTTCCTTTTTCCCTGTCATATTCATATTGATTCATTCTTTTCATCAGAAGTGATGAAAAATAACTGCAAAATAACTTAAAATGGAATCTAGACCTTGCATTGTTTTTTTAATCTTTGCTTATATTATCCATTGCAGTTTTAATGTGGGCATCAATGTCTACATAAATTGTTGATGAAGATTCTCAGTCACCCAAGTGGAATTATCTGGAGGTTGCGTCGTGGCAACTGGACTTCTTTTTTTTTGGTTTGATACGCGCTGCTTGTCCAAGCAGCTTCTTCAGTCTAGAAAGTTGGTTAGGGGGGACCCCATAATGTTCACATTTTGGACAGAGAAAATAAGTGGTTTGAGAGAGGGAAGGAAG